TAAACTAATTATGAATCCATGAGAGCATCAGATGGCGTCCCTCCAGGTACTACTTAGAGCCCGATTAATCAGACGAGACTCACTCCGAAAATGACAATGGAGCTAATCAATACTGATGGGAGAGCATGTCGCTGTTCTCTATCAAGGCCGTTAAACCCTCGTCTGCGGAGGTTTGCCCTAATTCAATCCGACACTTTAAATGAAATATCTTCAGCCGTCATTGATCTCAGTGAAACGCTACCCTTGTGATCCAACACAGACATGACCCAAGGGCACGGAAAGAAGTTGTAAAATGAAAGCTGTGACATGAAAGAGAAGGAAGGAAAGGAAATGAGAGATTGGAGGAGATGGGAGAGGAGAAAGAAGGTGTTAGAAAGAATAGAGAAGATAGATTAAATGAGGAAGAGGAAGCAAAGGGTGAGCGACAGGACTAGAGATTGAACGAGTATGATCAAAGCAGTGCAGAAGACTGGAAGAAGCAGACGATGGAAGCAACGGTGATAATGGAGAGCTAAATTGAGGGACCAAAGCTGGAGATGCGGGTCAAGTCCCTCAGGGTTCACTAGTGGAATCGTGCAACACAGTCAACTGCTCGCAATCAACCTCTATGAACTGTAAGACTCCGACACATACCTGCACCATATCTTATCACCTCAGAGCTCATGCTAAGTACCCAGCTACTCTCATCTATCTACCATCTACTGCTACAAATTAGTTGCATCACTTCCTTTGCACCAGAGAATATATTCAATGAATCTTTTAGATACTAACACCAGTATGATACCTGAGTTTTGATCAGTTTTCCAATAACTTACGAACATGTTTTTCTACCAAAGATTTTTTTTCATTTCACAAAGTTCTAAAATGTTAAAACCTGTCAAAGACAAACTATTTACAAGATCTCTGCATAAATAAAAAAGTCTTTCCAACCTGACCAGACATTTATTGCCAACTTTCCATACTCTGACCCACAAACACATTTCAGTCGGTACCAAAAAACAGTTGAGGTTCAATACCCAGCACTACTTGCTGAAAGTTTAATCATCATAAAACAAAAGAAGACAGACAAAAAATGTCAGATCAAAACCGAAATGCCACAGCCATAGAAAAAAAAGACTGTCAATTCAACAAGCCACTCCACAGGGGTTCAAAGCAAAAACCACTTTCAAACAGGGTCGAGGCAAAGTCAAGACAGAAACCAGAGCAAATAAAGTGTTTTAACCACATGTGGTGGCTTTTATTGTATAAACCCAATACAAAGAGTTAGTGTTTTTTCAAATGTAAATTTTTTTTTAAAGGCCAGGATTTAAGTCTGATCACAGACCAAAACAAAATTCATTCAAATGTTTTTAGCTTAGAAAAGAGCACTTTTTAGTTAAAATTCAAACTGCTCGAATGTGATGGAAAATTGAATCTACAATCAATAGAGACTTGTTTGACACTGAAATTCAGTGTAGGCCTATTAATGTGTGTTCTGTGCAGCAGAGGCAATCCGAATGCCCTGTTCTCTAACAGTAAGCTAGGCTAATGCTATTGTTGCTTGTTTTGTTCGGAAACTAGCAAGCTGAGCTACATGGATAATCACAAAGATAAAAGCTAACGGTAATGTTCGCTTGTCACATCAGTTAGATAGTTGTGGCAGTGAAAATTAAATAAAGTCATTGCAACAGTTTGATTAGACAAAGTAGCTTGAATTTGAATTAATTTGAACAGAGTAGTGCAAGAATGAGTCCTAAAATCCAGAAATGGTCGCATTTTAGCAGAGGTTCCCTTGTCTCGAAGTCAGTGTTTTTTTGAATGGGTTTTCAGTTAGATGCCTGAAATAAGACTTTCATGTTTTGTTCTACTACATAAAATACATCAGTAAATACCCTGGGTCAAATACACTGGTAAATTTTGAAGCTTTTTTGTGTCTTAAAAAGGGTAGTTGCTAACAAGACATCATGCCGACACAGCTTTACATCCTTGTTGCAGTGGCAATGTTTCTCTGGTCTCTGTGCGACGCGCCCACGTGTGCGCACTTGCGCGAGACCGTGAGACATGGGCACCGCCTTCATGTGTGTTCACGTGCTTTCGCTGGTCTCGCGCGCACACGTGGGCACGCTGCACAGAGAGGCAATTAGAGCTGCAGGCTACAGTGAGGCTAAAAGCAGAGTTCAAATGACGTTTTTCCAAACAACTTTTTATGTCGCGGCTTCAGGACACTTGGATCACTACGGACAAGCAGTATGGAGATATTTTGTGGTTTCAATTATGTGTTTTTGGACGTTTGAATCAGGGCGCCGTCAGCCTCCATTAGGTGGAGTTTTGTTGCTACCCACTCTCCCCTTGGATCTCCGCAAGGGATGTGAGGACTCTAAAACTTCACCTGAGCCTCCCTCGGCATATGGGTGAGTAGATAATGGCTGAATTTTCATTTTTTGGTGCACTATCCCTTTAAGTCATGTGACAATTGTGTAGTTCATTTATAGCCTAACATTAGCTTTTCACTTCTGGTGATTGCATTTAGGCTTCAAAAATCATAAATTGATGTTCAATGGGAAGATTATCTTGCTGAAGAAAACATGCAAGTATCACAAACAGTTGTCTGCCGCACAGCTTATTTTCTGCAATATTCCAAAATCCAATGGAAAAATCCCATAAGCTTTTAGACAAGGGAACCAGGGAGGTGCTAACTTCTGCGTCAGCCTACAGAAAAATGTCATTCGTGGAGCACTCTATAAGGCCTGTGGTTAACAAACGCCTAAGAAACTTTCACGTTTTGTTCTACAACATAAAATATATCAGTAATTACCCAATGTGTAAATTTTGAAGCTTCTACATGTCTTAAAAAAGACTGTTGCTGTCCTACAAATAAATGTCTGCCCAGCAGCACTCTCTTACTTGTTAGTTGTAATTTTAAATATTTTAAAAATCCTTTGGTTCCTGATTTTGGACTACAAAAGCTCCAAGGCTCTTTGAATGCCTTTTTTTAACTTTAATTATCATCGGTTAAACATCAATTAATCAGTTGTTCTATAAGTAATCAGCAAAAACAATGGTGTAGTGTTAGTTGGGGAGGGATTGTACCATTGGGTAGAGGGGTAGATTACCAAGGAGGAAGTGGGTATAACTCTCCTATATTCCAATTGCTTTTTGGCTAATTGATGGGTATACTGTACCCAGAAAAAGAGGTGGGTATACCCCTGTATGCCTGCATATACCCTCCCCTACTACCCTCCCCAAATTTTAAATCCAGTGTTGAAAGAAAATGTGAAACGGTAAAAGGAGTGGAGAAATATGCTCATAAGCAGAAAATACTTGAATCATCATCTGAAACTGGCAAAGTCCAAACACACTGGACCCTAACACTGCAGTCCTGCTAAAAGCACTGATAAGTAAGCCTGACTTGGCAACCACGCAGCCTACCTGCTGGTCTTCAGAGCAGCATTCACCACAGTTAATGACTTCTCTTGGGCTAATCAAAGTGCTTACTTAGGCAGCTTCATTCACCCGACCAGACTATATCTACCCCCGACATGACTACAGAGGGCTGGCACGCCATCACGCCTGCCTACTGGGTTGATGGTGAGCGAGGCTTAGACAAATCTCTCTGGTAAGGTTATTAGTATTCCCTGGGGATGAGATCCTGAGCCCTCTCAATTCTGCAGCTTCTGGTTGAATGAATGAGAGGGTTAACACTATCAGTGGGCCCACAGCCAGCTCTGGCCTCACACCGGTCCTGTGGGATGGGACACCAGATGCCGCAGTATCTCACTTGTTACACAATCAAGGAAATAATTGGTGCGCCTGACTTGGGCGTGTAATTCAATTAGGGCAATAAAGAAGTCGTTATTATTCTCTGGAACAAATACAAAGAGGGGAACATGACAGGAGCTACAGCTTCTTTGGGAAAAATTGGATATAATCTTTTTCAAGCAAGATTAAAAATCACTATAAGTTTCCAAGAGTTTACAGTTCTGATTTTTCTTTTCTGTGGCATATCCCCATAGAGATTTGGGTTGGCTATACTATTCATGTGCAATCCATTTTAGAATTTACAATATGACTGCTATGGATTTTTTGGTTTCATGACGTTTGGTTGCATTGGTTTCTTATCAGACGACTCTTTACAGCCTCATACAGACAAAAATCGATGCTGCAAGCCAGTGAATCTATTCAGCCATCCATTATTAAAAATGTTCCAGCCATTTGTGAGAGCAGGCTGTGAGTGATACTAAATAGATTAGGATGAGCCCTAATCCACATCTGTGTCTCATAAAAACAGACCTCAGACAACGGTTCCCCCCAAGGTAATATTTCATTAACAGAAATGGTAAAACCTTTAGGTGCATCCTCAGCCCTGAGGCATCTTCAAGATGTTATAAAGGGAGCAGAGGGCAGTGTGATGGATAGAGCTGAACATACAGCTTCACATAAAGTTTGTCATTATCAAGAGAGGTGAACACAAAAAAGGAGACCACCAGGTATGGAGCCTTCTGGAGGGCAAACTGCACCACCTTTACTTCTATGCATCATAACAGTAAGTTTTAGCTCTTTTAATGTTGACTAGTTTTAACCCTAGTTGGTTATGCATCACAGTAAGCAGTACCAAATTGATCAAATATGAAAATTAGGCTTTTGACTTTGCCTTATGATTATCTCCTTCTGTGAGTCCCAGTTAGTCTGCGTTTTCACTCACAACTGCATGACTTACTGACAACAATATGTGAAGATGCGTTCAAGCACAGCTTCAGATATACCCTATTTATCACTTTCCCGTGCATCACTAAGCTGCCTTGTTGATCTGACAGCACCTTGCAGAAGTGGTTTGTATATTTACAACCAACAACCAGATACACTCATTTAGAGCAGGTGCAGTCTATCTGGAACAATCCATGTTGTGCATTCCCTTTTGTTCATTCCCACGAGCCTCTCTAAGCGCTTTATAACACCGCAACAAAACACCAAGTGGCAAAATCGCACATCTCTCATCGCAAATTGATGGTAAATTGTCTTACCTGATATCTAGCGGCTGAAGAAGGGAGGCTCTCTCTCTCTCCTCACCGCAGCTCTTTATTCACACAAGCAAACCAAGGTGGCTTTTTAAAGGAGGTGCAGCGTCGGAAAAAGCAGTTTTAGCTCTCCTTAAGGATGTTCCTGGAGTGCGGAGAGGACGACTGTCAGCGCGGGGATCCGCGGGAGGAGAAGCTCTCTTCAGGCTTGAGAGAAAGCGGCAGCAGCCTGCAGACCTCCGAGCGCCAAGCCCGTCTGAGCGCTCAGCGGGGGAGTGCAGCTGCTCGGCCGGACACCAGGTGGCGGTGTCGCACATCAAATCCCTCGTAGTGGTTACCTGTGAGGAGGGTGCTCCGTGTTGTGGCGTCTGGGAACAGGATGGAGACGGTCTCAGAGGTGTCCTGCCCTGCAAAAAGATTCGTGGGATTAAAAGAGGAAAATAACACTGTTGTCACAATCAGCAGAAGAGTCCTGGAGGTGATTCAAGAGGGTCCCAAACTTCTTCCCAAAATACCATTAGTAATGCAAAACACATTACTCTGATTTTTTTGGCATGCACAGCGAGAATCCAGGGTAAAGAATATCCATGACTGCATTTATGTGAAAATGCTCATCACGTGGTTTGAGTGCACTTATTTCAAATTGCTTTGGATGGACTCTGTCAAATGAATATAATGTAAAAAACAAAAAAAGTACTATAAGCATATTAATTTTTGTATTGAGAAGTGCATTGTGCAAGTGTTAAACTCAGTGATGTGATATCTACAACTTAAAATGTTATATCAACTCTAATCAAAGAAGTATTCAGATGATTTGCTCAGTAAAAGTACCAATAACCACAATGTATAACTATTTAATCAAAATCCAACTGGACTTAAAGGTCCAGCGTGTAGGATTTAGGGGGATATATTGACAGAAATGGAATGAGTATATTTTCTTAGTGTATCACCACCAGAAAATAAGAATCATATTTTTTTTAGCTTAGAATGAGCCATTTATATTTACATAGGGAGAGGGTTCCCAACTCCAGAGACCACCATGTTGCACTGCCATGTGTCTACAATAGCCTAGAATGGATAAACTTGACACTGGCTTGAGACAGAGACATTCTTGTTTTTGCGTCAGCCACCATAGTTAGAAGCCCCACTGCAACAAGAACATCACCTTTGCTGTTTCTTCTTCTTTTTTGTAACATGAAAATGCTTAATTTGGTGTTTTTGTCAGTTTAAAATCACCAGGTCCATTTAATTTGGAGAGGAAAAGACTTCCGCCGATAATTCAGCTCCTGGTGAAAACCTCCTGAATGTCTTGGTCTTGATTTAGTTAGAATATAAAGGTGAGCACACATTGGTAGGTGCATGGGCTCCGACATGCCAAACAGCATAATTTTTTTTAGCATAACATACCTAATCCCAATGGTAGAGATAGCTCAATCAGGTTAAAGTTCAACAACACAGATTTCATTAAGACAAAGCGACTTACAATGTGTTCAACCAAACAGTTGAGCAGGACAACAAAGGGATAACATGAAAATACTAAGTAATAGATACAAGTATCTCGACAGTGTCATATGGTACATACCATCACGTTAAGTCACCACTATGATAGGCTGCAGTTGATGCAGTATAAGTATTATTTCATGTGTCATCCACCTCAGCTTGAGATCTTGCAGTAATAGCTCTAGTTACCCAATTAATCAAGTAAAGATATGCATTTCATTAAACAGCAAGCATATGCCATTTTTTTTAAATGACAAATTTATGGTGGTTTGATTTTTTTTTTAAATACTAAATAAACACTTTGCATACGGTTGGCAAAATCTAAAAAACATGTATTTCAACATGCTCTACATGGTTGTTGATAGAAAGTGATGTATGTCTTGTGTAGTATGAAGCACTTACTTTTCAGTGGTTGAGTAACAATATTCTCAAGTGGTTTAATGTCCCACGTTCTGGTAAGTTTTTCCTCATCAATTATGGTGTGAATGTCTTTAATTTTGTCAAAATTAAAGTCCTCTACTACTTTCATGTTTCTGTGTTATGTTAAAATATGCCTCCTCCTGGAAATCTACACCTATGAAGATGTCAAAGTATCAGACTGTACAGTCCATCATCCCTACAAATCTACAAAATTGACTTAATAAAGTACAACATTAGTGAAACGTTTGTTTGTTGAGACTAGACTGGTGATTTTGTTTAAATGTAAAATAAATAAATAAATAAATAAACTCATCCTGTCTTGTGCTTTGACTTTTGCAGTATTAAACCAGGAACACGATCTTTCCCAAACCATAACCAAGTGCTGTTAGTGCCTAAAAATAACCATTAAAAATCCCATTATGCTTTAGTTGCTACAAGCAGATATTTTTTTGCAAGAATGGATGTTGTAAATTATCAACACACTGTCAGTAAACAAATGTTTACCACCAACACCTTCTCATTATGTTAACTGAAAACACTTAGACTGGCATGTTTCTTTCAAAACACATTTCCTGTTTAAATCACTAGTTTTGACAAAGTGGATAAGAACACACCATTTCTCTTCATTCTTTGCATGGCCATGCCTTTGTTTGCAACATAAGATATAATTTTACTATCAACATTTCCTGGCTAAAACAAAACACAGACAGGTACTGTTCAGTTCAGTTAATTTATTGATTTAATCCATGTTCTTGAGTGCAGCACTAGTTTCCTTTGTTCAAACTTACCCATTCATCCTTCTTTTCCTCCTCTTGATATGTTTTGGCATACCCATTCTTACCATGCTTTCCTAGGAACTAAATGGAGTGGCAACCAAACACTTATCATTTCTGTGATTCTTAATGGTTATAGATATGCATATCAGTGAGGAATACTTCAGTCTTGTTTGTATCGTTCATGTTTACTGATAAAAGTAATCCCATGTATCTTGTTACACTTGCTACACCTGTATCTGGAGAAAGGGGTTAAGACAATGAAGTATGAAGTATAGTTCTGCTTAGGCTGGTTGTTCAGTGTTGAAGGGCTCAGTTAAGGGGTTTTTATCGATCAAGAGTAGAGGATGTGGCTCTGTGTGTGTGATGTTACCTTAAACCTAGAATAACTGATTTGATGTGAACACAACATTGACATATCATCGTTTTACTTGATATTGTGAACTGACAGGAGAAGACTTACCTGCAAGGATTCCACAAAGGACGTCCACTGCTAAAAGTACAGGAGGTCTTACTAGCAAGAAGACTTACCTGCACAGGCCCAAGGACTGGCTTTGCTGTGATGGATCTGCCTTTGGTAAGAAGATTAGGTAGCCAGGTTTCCTCCTGTTGGTATTGTTGGTGGTAATAATGCAAAATGGCTGTGATATTATCTGTTGTCTCCGCTGGCTTGTTAGCTCCTGCACTAACTGCTACAGTAGCAGTAGATCCACTTGCCGCAGGCTATCCTGACCAGGCCAGCCTTACAGGGCCCAGCTTGCACCTGACATCAATATGACGTTAGAAAAACACAGGAGTCTTAGTCTAAGAGACTTTAAATTGGGTCGACGATATTTTAAATGTCTGACAATGTTAGAATTTCACTTTGTGTGAATGTCAACATTATGACATTTTGCAGATGTTGGGTTTTTGCTCTTTGTTCTCCATACCTTACAAGTTATGTCATTAGTCTATGTCAAGATGACATCCACATGAGACGACTGGAAGACGTTTGATTTTGGTTACTTAACAGCACAATGTCATCTGTTCTCAGTATTCTACATCAAATTGACCCTGGCATTAGATGTTGTCCTAACAGTGAATGAGGTCAGTTCAAAGGTTCTGCCTGGAGAATCAGAGGAGCAAGAACATATGGCCTTTCATTTGACATCAAAATGGGAAATTCTCATTTGAAAATCAAAATGTATTAAATAAATAACTGCAGGACTCACTTTGCTGAAAAGTATTCATGCAATTAAATCTTCAGATTTCAGTAGGGTTTTGTTTTGATAGAAGGTTTATGATTATCATTTAAAAGAATTTTGGATGTTCATGGGGTATAACCCTACCACTGATGCACCAACATCCATTTAACATCAGTCATAGTCCAACCACATGTCCCTTTGTAAAAACAAACAGAGACACATGTTGATTCACAGGACAGCGTTGTTTTCAACTTCACTTTACAATTCAAAAAAGCTGTTTGAAAAAGCTTTCACTCATCTTTTTTGAGTGCTTGTGGTTTCCATAGAAACCACCTCGATACATACAAAGACGTGGGATTGTGGTTTTGAACAAGATTGGATTTTTCCAGATCTACACCTGAGGTCACACACACACACACACACACACACACACACACACACACATACACACTTCAACAAACACAAACACTTCCACATTTCTCTCTCCTCCACCTGACCTGCTCTAGCCTCTTCCAATCTCTGTTTCCCTGACATCACTAGAGAGGGACAAAACAAGTGGTCACTAATGATTCCTGGCTGGGGGGGGGGGGGCAGATTTTGTCAATTCAGTCACTAAACAGTCACTAAAAGATGTTACAAATCTATCTGTTAGCTTGTTATTAGGAGAAGTAGTGATGCACAGGTCAACACAAAACCCACAGGGCGGGTTTGGGTAAGCTTATGAGAAAATATCACATGTTCAGGTGGGCTGGTCAAAAAGTGACAAAGCAGTGTATTAACAACTTACAGAAACATTGCGTGCAATAGTCCACCTTCCACTTTCTCTTGCCTTCTCTCTAGCAGTTTCTCTCTCTCTGGCTCTCTCTCTGAAACAAACACATCTGTCCTCAGTCCTGGGACCATTTTTTAATGTTAACACTTGGTTGAATAGGCATTATCACCAGGAGTACAGTGGTATTTGTTTAAGTAGCCTACCCTGCACTCACACTGTTAAGTTCAATCAGGAGAGTCTCGTTCTGAGAGTAAATAATGTTTATTTACATGTGCACATAAGTATGAGACATATGAAAAGTCTTTGGCAATTAGACCACACTGTAATTTCATATGCTCCGGGTGGGTGGTAAAAACGTGGTAGATTAGGGAACCCTATGGAGTCTGGAAACTGGTGGGAGATCTGAGGATCTGGATGTGAAAAGGAGTGGGC